ATTATGAAATAAATATGGGAGAAAGCTAGATTAAATATATGACTAACTAGGACGTTTGGGACCATTTATAATTAATAAATATTATAATTAGCATATTTAATTGTAATTAAACCGGTTAATAGATATATGAAATTAAGTGAATAAATAAAGGAAATAATTCTAAAATAAATATCTGGACAACCTAGGTCAAGTATAGACCCAAACTATAGTTATGGATGATTAGTAATTTATAAAAGTGATGATTAAGTTATTTAATTTAATTGAGCCATATAAACTAGTTAAGTAATTAAATAAGGAAATTTTGATATTAATGGTGAAATAAATGAATCACTAAGATTGAAAATAATGTTCTGGACTAAAAATGATGTTTGTAATAAAATAAGGAAAAGAAAATAAAGTTGGGTTATCTAGTATAAATGAATGACTATATTTGGACTTAATAAATAAATTATTGAATTAGTTGACTAATTAAATTAGCGTGATTAAATTAATAATTATTATCCTTGATTATTAGTGATTTGGACTCCATATAAATTATTAAACTATTTGAACTCATAAAAAATTAGTTGATGAATATAAACAAATTAATTAAGTAATGTGTACTTAATAAGTTAGTTAATTGACTTCATTGAACTAGTTTAACTAAATCAATTAGTTTAATGGATAAATTAGTTAATTTATAGACTTGATAACATTTCTGGACTTTATATTAAAAATAGAAAATTAAAACGAGATTAGAATTTAATTATTGGACTTAATTGAATTAGATTAACGTATTTAGCTATATTGATATAATTAAACTTATTTATTTGATTTAGTTAGTTCAATTAAATTAGTGAGTCAAATAAATAAAACTGGAGGATTGTATAAATTAATTTAATTGGGTTAGTTAGTATAAATAAACTATTGAACTAATTAAAGTTGTTATTGAGATTAGATTATCATTAATGATTATTATTTCGAATTATTGCCTAAGTCAAGTTATTATTAAAAGGGTTAGTAAATAAATTATATAAATTATGTAAACTGAATTTTGAACTGAAATTGATTATTTAAATTCGAAATAATGAAATTATTATGAAGTTAATATAATTGGACCAGTAAACTATTTAACCAAACAAATTAAGAAAAAACCGAGTTGGGTTATTATAATTAAAGAAAATAATAAGAATGAACTGGAAATAAACAGTTAGTAAGATTTATTAATTTAATATTTATATTTAAAGAAGGAATTATGAAGTTAAAGTAGTTAAAGGTTGGATATAAAAGAAATAACGAAATAATAGAATAGTTATTGATTTAGAATTTTGATCAATATTAGAAGGAGAATTCAAGTGAAGATCAAGCTAGAGATTTTATTAAGGAGATTATCGCAATGTAAGGTAAGTTCTATGTCAACCAAAATGTTTTGCCTCGTACTTATATGTATGCAATATTTGCACTATGTGAATTATTTATGAATTGGAATTATATGTTTGACATGGATCGAATATTTTGACTATATGAATATTGGTGGATTATTACCTTTTATGGATGATTAAATGTATATTCTTTTTATTAAAGAATATTGGTGGATTTATATTTATTACAAAGGATATTTTGAGAAAATGTGACAAGAATGATTTGGGGAAAACTTAAAGTTTTCATAATATATATTCTTACGTCTCGAGAGAAACACGAGGCGTGGGTGGTTAGGGCTACTACTACTTTTGGTGGAATTTATTTGGGTCGGTAACCAGTCCGGCAATGACATACTCCGGTAGACATCCCGGGCTTTTATTTGAGGATCAAAGATCCTTTGGTGGTCGTAGTAGTAGTTACCTAATTTACCCTTGGACAATGTCCCTTGTGAGTAGGTGGTAGAAAACATCCTGCCTACTTGGGTTTCTTACTACTCGGAGGGCTTGGAATCCCTTTTAGAGGGTGTGCACACTTAAGGTAGAAACTCAGCTTCCAATTGGTGGTCGGTGGGAGCCGGAATTCCGGGATGAGTCGTAGATAACAACGACTCATTGGGCTCGAGGAATCTTGAGTTTCGCCCACTCTTAAAAGAATCTAAAGTATTACTTTTGGAAGAATTGAAGGATGATCTTATCTATTGTGGAAATTATTTTATGACATTAAACCATTTTGAAAATATGAGAGACTACTTTTCAACATATATACATATACAAAAACCTATTTTCCAAATTATATTATTTTACGGGTTCGGGTGGAATCTTACTTAGCTCTAAAGCTAATTTTTGTCTCTTTTCTCTTTTCTCTTTTCTCTTTGCTCTATTGTACAGATGATTATGATTATGAAGATTGATGTACTTGCTGCCCGAGTGTTCCGCTAGTTTCACACGTTTGATTAATTATTGTTGTTTAAATTTGTAATCCATAAACTTGTTTTAAGTTTTATCTGATGGCTACTTGAATTGATGGTGGATAGCCTGTGCACTCAATCATGTATAGGTTGAGTGTGGCGGTGACACACCTGTTTTTCCATTAAAGACTTCCGCTGTACTCTAAATATGTTTTATAATAAAGATGTTTTCATTTCAAAATGTTATTTTATTTTGGTGGAAAAAATGGGGGTGTTACAAGTTGGTATCAGAGCCTTAGGTTTTCCAAAGGGATTAGAACACGAGGTAATAGGTTGTATGGAGAAATTCTGTCACCAAGACGATAAGAGTCTAAGGCTGTTGGTTCTTAATTGAGCCTTTGCGCTCGTCCAACTACCTGGGAATTTCTCCTTGTGCTGAAACTTCGTCGTTCGAAATCGTTGAAGGAAACCTTTGAAATTGTACCTTCAAAAGGGAGATTTTCAAATATTTCTAAGATTAGGAAAGATAATATAGCTAGGAAATGGCCTTTTAGGAACGTGGTGAGAACCTTGTGAGTATTTATTTTCCTTACATGTATCATGTATGTGATAATTATGCTAATTGTGGGCCCATTTTAGAAATGGGAACCCTAAATGATAAAATGGGAATGCCTCATAAGGCAAAATTCCGAAGTGGCTAAGGTATGTACAAACATTATGTGTGAAAGTGCTTTTATGTGAAGTATGAATCTTCTGTATGATTGTTATGTACATTTTTATATGATCATGTTGCATAGCCTATGGAATCCTTAGTTGAACTAGGATCCTTAGGAGTAAAATATAGAAAATCTTACACGAATACTTTATGTCATTAAGATATCATGGCACCGAGAAGAGACCCTGATAACACGCCCACCAATGCTGAGTTGGCACAAAGCGTTCAACAACTGGCACAATTTATGCACACACTGGGTGCTACTGTGCTCCAGAACAATCAAAACCAGAACAACGGGAATGATGCCGCAAAACGAGTGGCATCTCGCAACCCTCCAAGCTTTCATGGGCAAGAAGATCCTCGTATCCTCGAGAATTGGCTCCGACTCTTTGACAAACTCTTCGACGCGGTGAGCTGTCCGGAAGAGCAAAGGGTTGACATTGCTGTTTACTATTTACAGCAAGAGGCGGATAACTGGTGGGTGTCATCAGGCCCAACTTTACGTCAACAGCCTGACTTCAATTGGGAAGCTTTCAAGATTGCCATGAGGAAACGTTTTTATCCTGCACACGTTCAGGCCACCATGCGTGATGAATTCATACATTTGAAACAGATGGGCATGAGTGTCCAGGAATATCACAATAAATTCGTGGACCTCGCGCCATTTGCGAAAACAATAGTGCCTGATGAAAGCACTAAAGTTGAGAAATTTATCTACGGATTAAACTATGATACACAGAAAATCGTCACTGTTTTGGGTTGCCAAACTCTGACTGATGCTTATGATAGAGCTGCAGTTCACTATCGAGTTCAGCAACTGCAAAGAGAGAGGAACCAAAAGATGAAGAGGGACGAAGATGGAGGTCGAGGAGAAAAGAGGGTCAGAGTGCACCCACCTACACAGCAACAAGAAGGGAGGAGAAGGAGAGATGACCAAGGTGGAAGAAATTTCCACGGTCAAAACCAACAAAATGATCGAAGAGCTGCTCCCAGAGATAGGCACTTCTACTGCAAGAGGTGCGGGAGAGATCATCCCGGTGTTAACTGCGATGGAAGCCTGACAAAATGTTTCAATTGTGGGAAGCTAGGGCACCGAACCTTCGAGTGTCTCTCAAAGACCAATGGGGCACCAGTGAACCAGGTGCAATACCGTGATGGAGGAAGACCAGATATGAACCAAGCTGGGCCAAATGGAGGACAAAATAACAACAACAATGCCGCCGCCAACAACAACCGCAACCCTCGAGGAGGAGGGGAGAATAATCGTGGCAATGGCAATGGCGGGAACAATGGCAATGGCGGAAACAACGGAAACCGTCCGAACCAAGGACGAATCATGGTGATGAATCAGGCCCAAGCCAATGCTAATGATGTGGTTTCAGGTACATTCCTTGTAAATTCTGAGCCTGCTTATGTTCTATTTGATTCTGGTGCTTCTCACAGTTTCATATCTTCTAGTTTCGTTAAGAAATTGAAGATTGAACCAACGGCTAGAATAGACTTGAATGTAAGAACCGCCTCAGATAAATTTGTAACTTGTGGTAATGTATACTCCAACATTCCCATACTCATATCTGAATCCAACCTACCTGGAGATTTAATCCAATTTGACTTAAAAGATATTGACATAGTACTGGGCATGGATTGGTTGGGGAAATACAAAGCTAGGATCCTCTGTGATGAACGGAAGGTGATCTTAAAGGGTCCAAATGGGAAGCGAATATCTTACAAAGAAATCACATCCAAACCTAGTATGAGGCTGATGACTATGCAACAATTAAGGCGACATATCCGAAAGGGGTATGAAACCTACCTGTGCTTTATGAAAGAGGTAAATACAGGGGAGCCAAACATTGACCAAATTGCTGTAGTCAATGAATTTCCGGACGTATTTCCGGAAGAGATTCCGGGGATGCCGCCTGAGAGAGAAGTTGAATTCTCAATTGAGTTGATGCCCGGAACCGCGCCAATTTCAAAAGCACCTTACCGGATGGCACCGAAAGAAATGCAGGAGCTGAAGGAACAACTAGAGGAGTTGTTAGAGAAGGGGTACATAAGACCGAGTGTCTCACCTTGGGGCGCTCCGGTCTTATTTGTCAAAAAGAAAGATGGGAGTCTAAGGCTATGCATCGATTACCGAGAGTTGAATCAAGCAACTATCAAGAACAAGTATCCATTGCCCCGAATTGACGACTTGTTTGATCAATTGAAGGGGGCTAGCACATTCTCTAAGATAGACTTGCGCTCTGGATATCATCAAGTGAGAATATCCGAAAAAGATGTACCAAAAACAGCATTCCGCACGAGGTATGGACATTACGAGTTCACTGTGATGCCGTTTGGTTTAACAAATGCACCGGCGGTATTCATGGACTTAATGAACCGTGTATTCCGACCTTATCTTGATACATTTGTGGTGGTATTCATCGATGATATTCTTGTGTATTCAAAAACCCCGGAGGATCACGAGAAACACTTGAGACTCACGTTACAAACTTTGAGAGAGAACCAGTTGTATGCCAAACTCTCAAAGTGTGACTTCTGGCAGGATCGGGTAGCGTTCTTGGGTCACATCATCACCCAGGAAGGCGTATCTGTAGATCCATCGAAGATTGAAGCGGTGGTTGAATGGCGTGCACCTACCTCGGTCACAGAGGTAAGAAGTTTCTTGGGTCTAGCGGGATACTATAGGAGATTTGTTAAAGATTTCTCCAAGATAGCAAGACCGCTAACCAACCTGACAAAGAAGACAACCAAGTTCCAATGGAATGAAGATTGTGAAGCAGCATTCCAAGAGTTGAAGAAAAGACTCACAACTGCGCCGGTCTTGACACTACCGTCAGGGACGGAGGGATTTGATATCTATAGTGATGCATCCAAGAAGGGGTTGGGGTGTGTGCTGATGCAGAATAGGAAAGTGGTGGCTTATGCATCAAGACAACTAAAGGTGCATGAAGTCAATTATCCTACCCATGACCTGGAGTTAGCTGCAGTAGTGTTTGCTTTGAAAATCTGGAGACATTACCTATACGGAGCACATTGTAAGATATACACTGACCACAAAAGCTTGAAGTACATATTCACTCAAAAAGAGCTTAACATGAGGCAAAGAAGATGGCTCGAGCTTATCAATGATTACGATCTAGAAATCCAATACCACGAGGGAAAAGCTAACGTGGTGGCGGATGCTTTGAGCCGGAAATCTGAGCACTCATGCCGAGCAACATGGATATTACCAGAAGAACTATTCCGAGACTTCCAAAGATTGAGCTTGGAAGTAAAGCAATATGGCGAAGTAGATGGTGAAATACAGTTATGTACTATGACTGTTATACCATCTATCTTTGACGAAATCAAGAACGGACAACCGGGAGATGTAAAGCTTGAAAGAATCAAGGAAGGAATGAAAGATGGCGTCAACGGACCATTTAAGGTACATGAAGATGGGAGCATCCGATACAAGGGAAGGTGGTGTGTTCCACTGAAGTGTGCAGATATTAAAAAACAAATCATGGAGGAGGGACACAACACGCCCTACTCGGTACATCCCGGGGGAGACAAACTATACAAAGACCTCAAACAGAACTTTTGGTGGCCGGGAATGAAGAAAGAAGTAGCTGAATTTGTATCCCGATGTTTGAACTGCCAAAAAGTCAAAGCGGAGAGATGCAAACCCAAGGGACTCGTGCAACCCTTGGAAGTACCAACATGGAAATGGGATTCAATCTCAATGGACTTTGTCGGGGGTTTACCTTTAACAAAGTCCGGGAAAGATAAAATTTGGGTGGTAGTGGATAGATTGACCAAAACTGTAAGGTTCATTCCTATGAATGAAACCTGGAGCATGGAGAAACTGGCTAAAGCCTATGTCAAACACGTGGTCAAACACCACGGAGTACCTCAAGACATCGTATCGGACCGAGATTCACGATTCTTATCCCAATTTTGGAAAGAATTACAAACGGCTATGGGAACAAAATTGAAGTTAAGTACTGCTTTCCATCCAACCACGGACGGACAGACCGAAAGAACAATCCAAACATTAGAAGACATGTTGAGGGCATCTGTTCTTGATTTGCAAGGATCATGGGATGAACACCTAGACTTGGTAGAGTTTTCGTACAATAACAGTTACCATGCTAGCATCGGAATGGCCCCATACGAAGCTCTATATGGTCAAAAGTGTAGGAGTCCCTTATGTTGGGGTGACATGGTCGATCAGGTGGTTCTAGGACCACAATACTTGCAAGATACTATTGAGAAAATCAAGGTCATCCAAGAAAGGATGAAGGCTGCCCAAGACCGACAGAAATCATATGCCGATCTTGGGAGAAAACCAGCTGAATTCGAACTAGGGGAGAAAGTTCTACTCAAAGTCTCTCCTACAAGAGGCGTAATGAGGTTCGGGAAGAAAGGGAAACTAAGCCCGAGATTCATCGGACCCTATGACATCCTAGAGAAGGTGGGAAAAGTGGCATATCGATTAGCTCTACCCACGGAGTTGGATAAGGTAACAACCGATTTGAAATCAAATACTTCTCTACGATTAAAATACATTCTTAACATACCGATATATGCTAGGTACATAACGTCTTTCACGTATCACAATTAAAGAAGTATGTTCGAGATGAGTCACATATCATCAATCCGGAGGTAAGAAATCCTAGACTTAACATGAGCCAAACGTAAATTGAAAAGAATATAAGTTAACCGTTATATTATTAGGTGATTGAAATGGATGAGACATTATCCTACGAAGAAAAACCCATAGAGATTCTCGATACTAAGACCCGAGAGACAAGGAAGAAGACAGTTAAGATGGTAAAAGTACTTTGGTCAAACCATTTGACCGAGAATGCAACATGGGAGACAGAAGAGGATATGCGTAAACGGTATCCTGAACTTTTCAATTAAGGTAAATATTCGGTTACGAGGACGTAACCTTTCTTTTAGGGGGGCAGGTTGTAATATCTTATAAACCTGTAATACTTCATCTTCATACTCAATTCTTGTCTTAGTTTATGCTTCGAGGACGAAGCATTCTTTAAGGAGGGTAGAATGTGATACCTTGGAAATTTGAAATAAAAATAAATAAACAAATCAGATAAGTTATATTTGATCAATCAAATGAAAGTAATACCAAAATATATTTTTATTATACTTGGTGTATAAAAATATACGCACACTACATGCAATAGAATTAAACACTTATGTGGCATTAGAAAAATAAAATAAAATAAAAATAAATCAGATAAAATATATCTGTCAGAGTAAATGGAAATAAATAAAATAATTACTAGTAACTTTATAAACATTAATGAAATAAAAGAAATATAATACAAATGGATAAACTATAAGTATATATAAGTAATATACTATATATATAACTACATATAAGTAATATATATATAGTACGTACATACATATATATATATATACTACAACAAAAACACACACATATAAACACACACATATTAATACGGAGTACATATTTTGATAAAAAAAAATAATAGCAAAGATCTGGAGGACATCTTCACATGCCAGGAAACAGCTTCATGACTTCACACCTACAATATTATGTGTATACATTGAATTATGAATAGGTATATATCTTATCAAAATAATTCACAATAATTCACACAACTCGTCCAGCTCCATAAGGGTTGATCTACAGCTATAAATACAGCTCCATTGACATTCTAAATCACTACAAAACTGAAGAAAACGAGTAGAGCAAATATATATATACTTACTCGCCGGAAATGTACACATATATATATTTACGTAAGAAATTGCCTATAAGCAAGAGAGGAGGGTCGTGAGAGGTCTAGGAATACTTCCCAATAAATTCCAGACCGATTCATAGTCACCGGAGCATCCTAGAGGTCGCCGGAGTTGCAAGCCGTGGAAACGGGTCTTCAGAAAAGACACGATTTTGCCGTAGATATGGGTGGAGGAGATTCTCCTCGACGTGAGGATCATTTTGCAACTTGAATCGTCGAAATCCGTTACCTGTAAGTAAAGTTATCGCTCGCCGAAGTTTACGGGATTCCGGTCGCCGGAATCGCGACCTGGAGAAGAGCTGGGAAGGAGACAACCCAGTCTTCTTGGGCCGGGTCGCGAATTTGGGCCGGTTCGGCCCGTTTTCAATAAAAAATTAAAAATAAAATAGTAAATGAAATAAATAAAATATGGAAAAATATAAATTAAATACCTGGTATAAAAATACATATTCGGACCAAGAATAATTGAAAAATAATATTTGTAGCTATTTTTAATTGATTTAATTGTAATTGGGCCAAGTTATACACATTTAGTAAATAATTAACTAAATGACGAAAATAATTATGAAATAAATATGGGAGAAAGCTAGATTAAATATATGACTAACTAGGACGTTTGGGACCATTTATAATTAATAAATATTATAATTAGCATATTTAATTGTAATTAAACCGGTTAATAGATATATGAAATTAAGTGAATAAATAAAGGAAATAATTCTAAAATAAATATCTGGACAACCTAGGTCAAGTATAGACCCAAACTATAGTTATGGATGATTAGTAATTTATAAAAGTGATGATTAAGTTATTTAATTTAATTGAGCCATATAAACTAGTTAAGTAATTAAATAAGGAAATTTTGATATTAATGGTGAAATAAATGAATCACTAAGATTGAAAATAATGTTCTGGACTAAAAATGATGTTTGTAATAAAATAAGGAAAAGAAAATAAAGTTGGGTTATCTAGTATAAATGAATGACTATATTTGGACTTAATAAATAAATTATTGAATTAGTTGACTAATTAAATTAGCGTGATTAAATTAATAATTATTATCCTTGATTATTAGTGATTTGGACTCCATATAAATTATTAAACTATTTGAACTCATAAAAAATTAGTTGATGAATATAAACAAATTAATTAAGTAATGTGTACTTAATAAGTTAGTTAATTGACTTCATTGAACTAGTTTAACTAAATCAATTAGTTTAATGGATAAATTAGTTAATTTATAGACTTGATAACATTTCTGGACTTTATATTAAAAATAGAAAATTAAAACGAGATTAGAATTTAATTATTGGACTTAATTGAATTAGATTAACGTATTTAGCTATATTGATATAATTAAACTTATTTATTTGATTTAGTTAGTTCAATTAAATTAGTGAGTCAAATAAATAAAACTGGAGGATTGTATAAATTAATTTAATTGGGTTAGTTAGTATAAATAAACTATTGAACTAATTAAAGTTGTTATTGAGATTAGATTATCATTAATGATTATTATTTCGAATTATTGCCTAAGTCAAGTTATTATTAAAAGGGTTAGTAAATAAATTATATAAATTATGTAAACTGAATTTTGAACTGAAATTGATTATTTAAATTCGAAATAATGAAATTATTATGAAGTTAATATAATTGGACCAGTAAACTATTTAACCAAACAAATTAAGAAAAAACCGAGTTGGGTTATTATAATTAAAGAAAATAATAAGAATGAACTGGAAATAAACAGTTAGTAAGATTTATTAATTTAATATTTATATTTAAAGAAGGAATTATGAAGTTAAAGTAGTTAAAGGTTGGATATAAAAGAAATAACGAAATAATAGAATAGTTATTGATTTAGAATTTTGATCAATATTAGAAGGAGAATTCAAGTGAAGATCAAGCTAGAGATTTTATTAAGGAGATTATCGCAATTTAAGGTAAGTTCTATGTCAACCAAAATGTTTTGCCTCGTACTTATATGTATGCAATATTTGCACTATGTGAATTATTTATGAATTGGAAATTATATGTTTGACATGGATCGAATATTTTGACTATATGAATATTGGTGGATTATTACCTTTTATGGATGATTAAATGTATATTCTTTTTATTAAAGAATATTGGTGGATTTATATTTATTACAAAGGATATTTTGAGAAAATGTGACAAGAATGATTTGGGGAAAACTTAAAGTTTTCATAATATATATTCTTACGTCTCGAGAGAAACACGAGGCGTGGGTGGTTAGGGCTACTACTACTTTTGGTGGAATTTATTTGGGTCGGTAACCAGTCCGGCAATGACATACTCCGGTAGACATCCCGGGCTTTTATTTGAGGATCAAAGATCCTTTGGTGGTCGTAGTAGTAGTTACCTAATTTACCCTTGGACAATGTCCCTTGTGAGTAGGTGGTAGAAAACATCCTGCCTACTTGGGTTTCTTACTACTCGGAGGGCTTGGAATCCCTTTTAGAGGGTGTGCACACTTAAGGTAGAAACTCAGCTTCCAATTGGTGGTCGGTGGGAGCCGGAATTCCGGGATGAGTCGTAGATAACAACGACTCATTGGGCTCGAGGAATCTTGAGTTTCGCCCACTCTTAAAAGAATCTAAAGTATTACTTTTGGAAGAATTGAAGGATGATCTTATCTATTGTGGAAATTATTTTATGACATTAAACCATTTTGAAAATATGAGAGACTACTTTTCAACATATATACATATACAAAAACCTATTTTCCAAATTATATTATTTTACGGGTTCGGGTGGAATCTTACTTAGCTCTAAAGCTAATTTTTGTCTCTTTTCTCTTTTCTCTTTTCTCTTTGCTCTATTGTACAGATGATTATGATTATGAAGATTGATGTACTTGCTGCCCGAGTGTTCCGCTAGTTTCACACGTTTGATTAATTATTGTTGTTTAAATTTGTAATCCATAAACTTGTTTTAAGTTTTATCTGATGGCTACTTGAATTGATGGTGGATAGCCTGTGCACTCAATCATGTATAGGTTGAGTGTGGCGGTGACACACCTGTTTTTCCATTAAAGACTTCCGCTGTACTCTAAATATGTTTTATAATAAAGATGTTTTCATTTCAAAATGTTATTTTATTTTGGTGGAAAAAATGGGTGTGTTACACGTATCCTTGGCCAAAGCATTGACAAAGGCTGTTCCGGCGGGCGTCTCATCCAGAAGCTTGAGACCATCGGTTACAGGAACATCGCATTTCTCCAAGAACTCGCCGAGATGTTTGACGAGGAATTCCTGAGCGGTATTCTCCAGGGCAATGTTTAGGCCTTTGCCCCTTTGAAAATTGATCACTGCCTGTTGGGTGATCTTGGTAACATCAGCCGCATAAGGAGCAGGAGGGTTCTCTCCTTCCTTGGCCTTGGCCTTCTTAAACTTGAGGCCAACAGCCTCAGCAGCTTCCACTTTTGCCCGGAGAGCCCAGATCTCCTGATCGCGACACTGAAGTCGGTTCTCCATCTCGGCCAGTTCAGCCCTGGCCTTGTCTCCTTTGTTGGCCCGGTCCTGAAGGTCCGCATCCATTTTACAAGCGACATCAAGAAGAGTCCGACTCTCATCCCGCTCTTGAGCAAGGAGCATCATCTCCCGCTTAGCAGCCAGAAAGGCCCTGTGGTAATAAGTCCCGACCTGAACATAGAATAGGAAAAGTGAGATGAAAAAGAAAAGGAAAACAAAGGCTAAGGGAAACTCAAAAAATCACAACGTACGCACCGTGATGCTTTCTAAATGGCCCGCTTCGACCAGATCAGACAGTGAGCTAAGCTGGTGAAGTTCTCACCAGCCTTCAGAGAGGTGCTGCACCACATAGATGAGGCTGTCTGCCCGAACAGCGTCCGTCCCTCGGCACGAGGACCCATGGCGGAGAACTCCACCACCAGCCGATCACTGATCGGAATGTTCCCAAAAACAGAATCATCCTTCTGAGTGAAGGAGGGATCAGAGTTTTTGGGATCCGGATCAGGAATGGTCCGATCAATCACATGGTCGATCGGGACCAGTTGGCCTCCACTCTCAATCCTTGGCCATTTCCGGGCCTGGTCAGAAGCTTGAGTCGCAGAAGATCCTGATTGCTGGGCCAGCTTTCCAGCACCCACAGTTACCTTTCCCTTGCCTTTACCCGCATGAACGGTCGAGGAGGGGGTGGGAGTTGGACGCTTCGAAGAAGGAGGGATTACACCTATAAGAAGGGATAAATAAAGATCAGTAAAAGGAAAAACACTCATACTGAATGGTCTAAAAAAATCAGAAATTTACCAATCCCAGCGGCCAAGAGCTTGGAAGGCGTGAGATAGGCACGGAGGTTCTTTGAGCCCTCCAGATGAAACCTATCATACTGGCATTTCAGCGTGGCATCCAGGACAGGAATAGTGTTCTGAACCGGATAGGTGTTCCGCCGATCGGGGAACAGTAGTGATTCCCCCACACGAACAAAGAGAAACCGTTCCTCCCACTTCTCCGGGGCGGTCGGGTTCTCAATGAATAATTGACGGAAGGGGCGAGCAACCAACCGTAGCCCGTACACTAACGAAAAATTTCGCCCCCCTTGAGTCAATTTCCTGGATCCGTCCCTGACCGTAGGTACCCCGTGGACCAGTAGGGCTGGTAACTGTAGTGGTACAGAAACAGGTCGACGTTCGGGACAAGGCCCATGTCGTGACACCGGACGATGAAGCCGGTCAAGATCCTATAGGTGCTGGGCACGAACTGTGCCGGCAGCATCGAGACCCGGCGTAGGAAGTCAATGATGAATGGATGCATGGGGAACCAGAGACCGGCTACCAAAGCATCCATATGGACCAAGACAAACCCCGAACGGTGCCTCGTTGGGTGTTTAATGAAGCCCGCATAAAACTCGCGGGGAGGAGGCAACAATTGGCGGAGCGACTGCTCGGCATCTGCAAGAAGGCATTGACACTGCTTCCTAATGCAGTGAAAGTTTAAACTATAACGAGGGGGCCGTTCGGGCATCCCCCTCTCATAAATGGCAAGGTCATCACCAGATATGCACCCATCATCTGGGAGGGGCTGTTCAGTTCTAGGAGATGAGGAAGAATCATCGGAACGTGATGATCGGGCAGAAGGGCCTTCTTGATGGCTAGGATAAGCCTTTCTCCTAGGACGACGGATTAGTTTGGGTGCCATTTCCTCAGAATCAGAAGAGCTAAGGAAACCAGACATAAAACCAAGGAACAAATAAGTTTCTAGAGAGAAAAAACCTGAAGGAGAAAGAAATCTAAAGAAGTAGCAGAAATTCTAAAAGGAAACAGCTGCGTCCTTATAAAGGAAGACTGCCACCAAGAGCTCAAATCAATTACTGACACGTGGCACAAACGGTTGAAAGCAATAAAAGCGTCGCGAACACCAGAGATACCCGAACGGTCATCCAAACCAGAGATCGGTAGCAAGCAAGAATTGAAATGGTCAGATGCACCGAACGGGAAATGAAACCCAAAGCTATTCAAAATAAGTACTCGGTTGACATCACAAGGATATTCCATACAATCAAGATGGATAGAAAAATGAACGCACTCTATGTCCACTCTTAGTGACTACTAGTTCTTCGCCGGACAGGTATGAAAATGTTCCCAGAATACCTATCTCAAGACATCTATCATGCCTGAAGGCCGAATAGGGGGGGAAAATCGGGAAAATGGCTAAGTCCTAAATATTGGGCTTAACCCTCGGATACAATCTCGAACGAGGTGGAAAACCAGGGAAATGGCTGTAACACCCCCAATTTTCCCTCCCAAAATAATACTTGAAATAATGGATTTATTAATAATAAACTTTATTTATTCTTTCAAAACAGATAAAAAGTTTTGCAGCGGAAACATTATTAAATGGGAAATGGGTGTTACCGCCACATCCAGTCATCTCTTAACCGAATGCACAGGCAATCACAAAACAAAGTAAACTAAAACAAATGTTCAACATAACTGAAAGGTTTATTCTTGTCTAAGTTTTACTAAGGCATCTTCTACGTCGCTCTCAGGCGCATGCAATCATCAATCAACATAGTCATCATTACCTGCACAAATAAAGTGCAGAAAACAAAACAAGGGAAATGAAACAAAAATTAGCTTTAGAGCTAAGTAAGTACTACCCAACCCCGTAAAATAATCAGGTTTGGCGAAAAATAGTTTTTCATATAATACTATATAAAAATGACACACTCCACCAAAATTCTTCTCTTTGATATTTCTCAAAATCACTTCTTTACTAAAGTCCTCAACTTTTCTTTGAAAATACTATAGTAACTCTTCTCTTAGAATTTCTCAAAATTCACTTCTTCTCTATCTTCCTAGTAATTTAGAAGGGCGGTGCTCAACACTCTGGTTGAGCCCGGTGGTTACGTTGTTATGTACGGCCACCCCGGGACTTTTGTCGGTACCACAACTGCTAATGGAAACGAAACGACTACCTTAAGTGTGCACAACCCCTAAAAGGGATTCCAAGCCCTCCGAGTAGTAAGTCGTCACGAGTAATCGGGACTCAGTCTACCAACTACCCCACCTTTAAAATTCTTGAATGATTAGGGACTACTACTACTATAACTTCTTCTTAAAAGGGATCATAGATCCAAACGTCACTTCTAACTCAAACTGTACTTCTTAGTAGTAGCAGCCTTAATCACCCTCCACATTTATCCGGATGTGGAAAACCGACACCACGGATTTCTCCCGGATGCTCACCTCTTATGAAAACGTAAATTTTATCTTGACTTTAGATATAATTCCAAAAAATATTTCTCAATCTCTCTAAATAGTCTCAAAGGTATTTAAAAATATTTAATACCCAAAAGTACTTCGTTTGCACTTCAAAAATACCATAGATCTAATATTTCCTCAAAATCACATACACATAATTCAAAATTCACACTTAATCACAAAATGCATAATAAGCATATAATACGAGGAAACAATTTTGGATCGGCAGAGAAACTTACTTTAAGTCCTGATGCTCCTAGTTCTCCTCCTCTATTCCGGTCTCTAAGTAATCACCTTATTAATTAAGATGATATAATTAGACACCTATTTTATTCTTAATTCTTAACTAGATTTCTCCTTTGTATATATACTATTCGAATTTAATTATCATTTTAGAATGTCTATTCAACTTTAGATTTTTCATTAAATATTAATTAATCACTCGTATTATTCAATTCATACCACTTTGATTTTCAATTTACCGTATTATTATTATTTACGTACTGTATTCAATTCATTATAGTTTTATTAATTAATGTAATATTCGAGTATAATTATGTTTATCCCTGAACTATATTCTAATACTGGTTAAAATATTCAAATATCACAATTACTTTGATTTATATTAATCGTAATTAGGTATAGTTATTAATATAATCTAAGTCTTATAAAATGTACGAGTGATATACTTATTATTCAAATATCCGAATTATGTTTATGAATTAAGTATTGTACTATCTTACCGTAGCATATCCAAATTATAAAATATGCAGTAATTATTTTAATAGACTATGATGAACTATTAATTCAACAGTTCTAAAATAGTAATAGATCTAACTAATAATTCATTTATTTTTAATTTCCGTTTATTATTATATTTTTATATTTTTTTTTTACTACTTAAAATCAACTAATCTTATTACATCATGAAATTATCCAAATTATAGAGTGACGTTTTATTTAAATAATTATTAACAGTCTAAACAGTCCGATTTTATACTTGAACGTTTCCATTCCAGACTTTATTTGCAGGTGATTTATCGAATTTATCATTTTTCTTATATTATCAATTACTACTTTGGTTGTTAAAATTACAATACCATTATTATGATGAGTTTGGTACTTAAAAGTAATCGGTCCAGATTTATAGAAATTGACCAAGGTTATTAATACCTATAGCTTAATATTTATTTTTGTTATTAAACATTCCGCCTAGTTTATTCGCATGAACTCCGTACGTACTACTCCCTACTTAAATTAACTTATTCATTGTCTTCTTCGCACAATCACCGGAAAAACACAAGAGGTAGTTGGCTTACCTTATTGATGACGGAATAATTGGAACGGTGGCGGCTGAGGACGTCCTAGGTCGGCCTGGTAGCACGGCGTGGTCTGGCGGCAACCGCTAGTAGCTACTCTTCAAACCGTGAAACCAGCCCGGCGGCCACTCCGGTGAGCGATGATGCGTTGTGCGGTGGCAACTGCTCCGGCCGGACTCCTCACCGGACCCCGTTCCTCATCCTCACTTATACCATCGTTTCATTCTCTTTCTGGTCTTTGTTCGAGCGAATGAATACATATACTATGTATGTAAATAGATTTGTGGCTTGGCATGAATATCTAATTACTTCGTATATAATATCTCTCTTGTATTTGTGTGAGTATATTATAAGCCTATATTGTACTTCATATATATACATTATTAAGAGTTGTCCCAATATGTTATACTACGTATGGTATGTACTCTATTAGCTTACATGTTGAAAGGCCCGACACATACCATGTGTCTATGACTCACATGTATGAGGTACATTGCATAATGTACACATTATTGTCTCCTCCTCATGTGTCTAGTACTCTTATGGTTACTATGCATGTATGTGTATGTGCGGATGTATTAATTATTTGTCTCCTCCTCATTATTAATCTTATTATGTCCACATACATTGTACCATCCAATATTTTTAGTACTACACACCATTTTATTATTAGGTACGAGTACTTCGCATAAATATTTGGTTGATAACTCAATTCTTTTAACATTGTTATTTTGTGTGGTATTTTTGTACACATTTTATTTACTCATCTCTTTAAATCAAAATGTCACTTTTATTATTGAAACATTTTTATCTGATAAAAATGTCACCGATGTTAAAATTTTATCTGTTTCACTTACTTATTAAAACGTCACTTTCGTAATATTTTATCTGACTATTAAAATTTATTTATTTATTTATTTTTATTTAAATTTTTGGAGTGTCACATTCTACTCTCCTTATAAGATGTTTCGTCCCGAAACATAAGTTATGAAAAATACCTACAAATGCAATTAACAAATTCCGTATCTTTATTAGTATTAAATTTATGGAGTGTCACAATGGCTAAGTCCTAAAACATTGGGCTTAGACCCGACCCCTATCACAGGAATTGGAAATTGCTAAGATTGAGATCCCGGATAGGCAGACCGATTGTTATAGTAGAACAAGATACATCGGATCGATCAAACAGAGATCACGGAAATGACCAAGTCCACAAGTAAAACAATACGAAATGAACTACAAGTCAAAATGATAGGCAAAATTTCCAATTGTATTCATCGGCTCTACTGGCCGGAAGTTACAAAAAGTCATATAAAAGCAAAACAGGGAAAGTATAAATAAAAAGTCAAATCTATTTCTACTGGGTGCCGGCATCCTCTTCACCTCCATCATCATCATCATCATCATCATCATCATCATCATCGTCATCATCATCATCATCATCATCATCATAATCATCATCATCATCATCATCATCATCATCATCATCATCTTCACCTTCCTCTTCAGCAGCCTGGTCAGCCTCCATCCCCAGGGCTTGTCTGCACTTGCCCAGCTGGGCCTTCAGAACATTAAGGTGACCGGCATTTAAGTGAGGGAAGTCTGAAGGTTGCACTGCTCGGCCGAGGAGCTTCTCGAGGAGGGGAAGGATTGGCTGCAACATGTGGCAACATAAACCTCCCGGGCGAAGGTGTCGACCCACCCCTTGGTCACCGAATTCTGATCAAGTATCCGAACCCCCTCCTTTTGGCGGGCCTCCCCGCTCAGTTGCTCCAAGTGCCGCCCAAAGACTGTAGGAAGTTGCTCTAGGGCATACTCCTCCTTTGGAGCAGCAAATTCTTCTGAGGCCTTGTAAGTTTCCTGGATAGCAGAAAGATCCACAATCACCTCTGGGGGACCATCCGGGATCTGAGAAGGTGCCTCCGAGAACTTAACCTGAGCGGCCTCAGCAGCCGCTACCTGTGTCTGGAGGGAAGCCACCTTAACACGGAGCTCCCCAAGCTCGACCTCAAGCTTTTTCCGCGTTTCAGCAAACGCATGTCGATCGGTCTCGGCGGCTTGAACAGCCAAAGAAAGGGCATGCTCAGTATTTTCCCTCGCCACAATCAGCTCCCGCTCCTTGACCAGCCGAGCCTCACGGAGCTGCAGACTGTACATCCCCATCTGTGCACGATCGATCAATAATAAAAAGATGAGCGCACAATTTGAAAAGGAAATTTGAAAAGGAGACTTAGATAAAGAAGTACCTTCAGGGCAGTCAAAGCCACGCACTCCTCGGCCCAATCAACCGGGATGTTGAGGAGCGGGAAGCCATTGAAGAAGGCGGCAGTGGACCAAATCTGGGTCACCGAAGAACCGCCCCGTTCCAAAATTTCGTGAGCAGGATCTTCCAGGGAGATCCGTTCAAATTGCCTGGCCAGATCTGCTTGATGGGCGGCCATATCCTGAGCATCAAAGTGATGGGGTTGCTGATCAGAGAAGAGATTGTCCATCAGCTTGTCAGCATGAGAGGCTTGCTGTTCAGAAGCAACCTTCTGAACGGGCTGCGCTTCCTGAGCAGGCTGAGGTTGCTCCACATTCAGGGGAGCAGCCTGAGAAGAGCTGGCTTGATCGGCCTTCTTCACTCTCTTTCTTTTCTTTCTCTGCTCCTGAGCAGGTTGGGAGGCTTGTGGCTCCTCATCAACACCAACTGAGAATAACCTGCTGTCATCCATAACTTCTTGTTGGTGGTTGGCTCCTTTGGATTCCAAAGTTGCGTCTGGGTTGGGAGTTGAAAATAACAAGAGAAAAGGTTAGTACCGAGCGGCTTCAGCGTGTGTGAAACAAAATAAAGCGTTTCTCGCACGAGAAGGACCGCCCGGGCCTTGGCACTTGGGTTTCAATCAAGTAAGTCCAGGAATACGAGCGGTACCTATCCCGGCCTTGATAAGCCGATCGGGGGTCAGGTAGGCCCTGATCTTGTAAGCGCCACCATGCTCCACAGCGATGATGTCCTTGCTGAGATCCTTAGAGATGAACGACTCAGGGGACTTAGGGGGGGGGCATTCCATTTCTTTAGAATTAAACCGTCCGGGATGGAGACGAAGAAGAACCGATCTTTCCATCCCTTGATTGAGGAAGGGGCATCGGAGAACAGGATATGCCCCATTCGGGCACTCACCACCAAAATCCCATGGGCCTGCTGGGGAATGACCGAGAAAAAGTAGTGGAAAAGAACTAGATTGGGCGTCACCTTAACATCCACACATCGGCAGATGAAACCGGCCATAGCCGATAGGAGTTCGACATGATTTGGGTCGGCACCACATTGTAAAAGTTTAGTAAAGAAACAAAAAAGGGATGGAGCGGAAATCTAAGGCCGACTTTCAACAAATCAAAATGGACCACCACCATCCCGGGAAAATGACGCATTGGGTGGAGCCCCGCTTAGAGACGGAAGTCCACCGGGTCAGGAATTAGGATTGGAATTTAGGCCCTGTTCTGGGCCGTAAGTTTCTGCCGCCTGAACCTAATGAGTGCTAGGTCAAGGTTATGGCGTGGAATGTCACTCGGAGGACCAACCTCCATAACGTCTAGCTCATCACCGGATTTGGTACCATCGGAATAGGTGTTGGAAGAGGAGGCGTCATCACCAGAAACATCACCAGGAACCTCCGCATGTACGATAGTATTTTCCGTCGCAGCATCTTGAGCTTCCCCTTGGAGTACAGACCTACAGGTAGAAGTTTCAGAAGAATGTAGGCTAGGTGCCATACTTACCGAACAAGAAGATAGAAGGGTGGAAGCAAAACCGGGAATTACCTGAGCAAGAACCGCTAGAGAGCACCTAGAGAGAAGGCAGAGCAAAGGCACGAAGAGATTCAAAGTTTGGAAACCCGGAACCAAAGCCATAAGGGTTCATTTATAAACTGACACGCCGATTCACCAACCAATCAGGAGAGAACACGTCGCAGAAAATGATTACAGGGACACGTGTATGTCACGCGGAGAAACACCAATAAGTAATCATAACGATTATCGGGAATTTGAAACGGCAGCCGCAGAAAACCGTCAAATTATGCCTCGGGAACTGGCAAAATCGCGTCCACTACATACCCAAGCAGCATTCGGGCAATATTCTTCTACTTCCCTATGCACTCACTACCATTCGAGACATAGGAAGTGGGGCACTCGTGTTGGGGTATTGGGCCCAAGCCCAATACGCCCGGCCCAAAACATAAAGTAAGCCCAGGACAAGCAGGAAGCGCAACGCAATCAGAAAAGCCCAAGACGTCCTGAACAGGGGATACCCGAACAGTATTCGGGTATATTTGTCCACTTGAAACAATCAGACAGAGGACTGGCATCAAAACATCCACAAAGGGGTCCCCGCAAGTGGGAGCATGGGTACAAAGGCGGCAAAGACAACAACCAACTAGGTTCAGCCACGTGTCCATCTCATCTACTTCTCCTTAGTATAAATACCTGCATTGAATACATTGTAAAGGGTTAGCATTTTAATACTCAGAGCTTAGCAATAGAATCGTTTTTCTTGTATTGTATTTAAGCTCATACTGACCTACCGTTCGGGCAGTTTCATTGTAATCACAAGAATTACATAATACAATTAGCTTCTGAGTAAATCTAATATTCATTATTTTATATTTTATACACCTTTTCATACCAAGACCAAGATCCTTTTTAAATATCCAAAGCGTGTGCTGAACTTTCGGATCTACGGGACAAAACCTCAACAATACTAATTTAAAGTTATTACATCCTAAAATAAATAAATAAATAAATAAATAAATAAATAAAAGAAGTATAAATAAATAACTAACACGGACAAGAAGAGAGTTCTAGCTGGCGGCAAGTGCAGTGATTCTTACAAGATGTGCAATAATGTCGTGCAATAACCGCATGAAAAATACACATTTTTTAAATAAGGGTATTTTGGTCATTATTTTTATATGAATGAATTTTCCTTTTTATTTTTATCTTTTCAGTCATACGAATGTCTAAAAACATAACTACTCATATTTAGGGAAACTCAATACTCCCTCCGTCCCAAAATGGTTGACCAATGTTGACTTGCACACGGATTAATAAAGTAAAAAATGTGTGGATGAAATTTCTGCAGAGGAGAGAAAATTAACTTTAGCCACTTATTCCTTACTTTAAATAGAAATGACAAACCTTTTTGGGATGGTCAAAAAAGGAAATTTGGCCAACCTTTTTGGTACGGAGGGAGTATATTTTAGTTATATC